ACCCTAAACCCTAAACCCTAAACCCTTAAAGAGGCTGACATCGAGTTGACTCCCTTCTCTATGGGCTAGAGACACCAAACCAGCACTCATGATATTGCTGAACTCCATTCCTTTCTAAACCCTAACCCTCAACCCTAAACCCTAAACCCTAAACCCTTAAAGAGGCTGACATCGAGTTGACTCCCTTCTCTGTGGGCTAGAGACACCAAACCAGCACTCATCATATTGCTGAACTCCATTCCTTTCTTCATCGCTACCGTCAGGGCATAGCTTGGGCTGTCTGTGCCTACGGCGGCGCCCCTCAGCTGCAGCAAATACACGCAACAAACCCTAAACCCTAAACCCTAAACCCTAAACCCTAAACCCTAAACCCTTAACCCTAAACCCTAAACCCTAAACCCTAAATCCTAATAACCCCAGATCGTACACCCTAGACCCAAAACCCGAACCCCCGAAACCTTCCCCACAAATCCCATATCCCAAACCCTAGCCTTAAACCCTAAACCCTAAACCCTAAACCCTAAACCCTGAAAGTTTTACATTTCCATCTGTCTCTTCTTTTTTTCTTTCTTCAAAGAAAGACATTAAACCAAGTCTGAGTGCTGTTCGTTTCTGTAATCGAGGATTTCCAGGGTCTTGCTGCTGCATGCGACCTATGCTCAGCTCTTCTTTTTGCTGCGTTTGAGTTGGGGCCCTATACTCTAACCCTAAAAAATCACCTGACAAACACTCCAGCTGCTGCTGCTGCTGCTGCTGCTGCTGCTGATGGTGCAGCTGCAGCAGCTGCTGCTGCTGCTGGGGGTCTGCAAGCTGCAAGGAGGCAGCGGCTGGCACTGCTGCTGCTGCTGCTCCTGCTGCTGCTGATGGGGTAGAAGAGGAATTAAGAAACGCAAGAAGTGCAGCAGATTGCTGCTGCAGCTTCACAATCCTGTCTAGAAGAGAGATCTTAGGGCTGAAGCGGGGGTGGAGAGCCTCCCGCAGCAGCTGCGGCTGCAGCAGCAAAAAAACAACCAAACCCTAAACCCTAAACCCTAAACCCTAGTGCCCTAACAAAGAAGCAATTTGCACGAGAGTCAGAGAAGCCGCTCGAGAGATAAACTCACCCTAAACCCTAGACCCTAAACCCTAAACCCTAATCGAATAAACCTTGAACTTCACCTCTAGGACCCTTGGGCCTTACTGCTAAACCCTAAACCCTAAACCCTAAAACCCTAAAAGCTTACCAAGGAGGATACTCTAAAATCTTCCCAGAGGGGCAGCAGCAGCTCAAGGAGACAGTCTGCAGCAGCAGCAAGAAACTTCGTGCATGCGCTTTTGTTGCTGTCTCCCTTTGAAGAAGATAACGCAGCAGCAGCAGCATCCCAGGTTAGCTGCTGTTCATTTGCTGCTGCAAAACGCCTCTCCCGCCGTGTTGTTGTTGGTGTTACTGCTGCTGCTGCTGCTGCTGCTTCTACCTGCGACGCGTTGGAGCCGCAACGGGAGAGGGAGTCAGTCTGCTGCTTCCTCTGCTGCTGCTGCTGCTGCTGCTGCTGCTGCTGCTGGTGCTGCTGGTGTTTATGCTTGCGGCTGGAGTGTGATGATTGTGTGTGGGGTTGTTCTTCTTGTGCGAAATCTTCTGCTTGGCTGTCTCTCCTGAGACGCCAGGTAGCTAGCTGGCTAGCTACCTGACCAGCTAGCTGGCTAGCTGCATAGCTAGCTAAACCCTCTCCCCCTGCCTCCCCCTCAGCACGCAGCAAATGATGAATCCCCAGATACTCAGGAGGGATTTTAAAATAAGATAAAACCACAACACAAGGAGCGACGAAACGCCGCTCGAAAAACATCCTTTTCGCCTGAACACACAAACCCTAAACCCTAAACCCTAAACCCTAAACCCTAAACCCTAAACCCTGAAAGGATTACTAACACTATACCCCAAAGAACAAACAAACAACATAACAACAGTCAAAGAACTGCGAATTCTAAACCCCAAGAAATGCCTCCAATACCTCGTCAATGTACACCTGATAAATAGGTTCGAGGGTTTAGGGTTTAGGGTTTAGGGTTTAGGGTTTACCGGGGAAAAGCAGCGCTTGGAGTACGCGAAGGCGGCGAGAGTATGCAGCAAATAAACATGCTCGCCCAGCAGTTGAGGCTTCACTACAAATGCGTCTCCTAACAAGCTGAAACACGTACCCAAACCCTAAACCCTAATCCCTAAACCCTAAACCCTAATCCCTAAACCGAAAACCCTAAACCCTAAACCCTAAACCCTAAACCCTAAGCCCTAGCCCTTATGCAACAAGGCGGAATTTGTACACTGGGGGGTCAGTTTTGTTCCTGCTGTTGCTGCTGCTGCTGCTGCTGCCGACGCTACTGTTGCTGCAATGGCAGCAGCAGCAGCAGCAGTAGCAGCGGCTGCTGCCACTGCTGCTGGACTTGCTGCAGCAGCCGATGCTGCTTCTGCTGCTTCTTACTTTTTTGCGGCTTTCATTGCGGTAAGCTCCTTAAGGCGATGCTCTTCAACAAACCTGAGGAGTCGCCAAAACCCTAAACCCTAAACCCTAAACCCTAGCTAGAGCCATCTCGAGTGGGGGCAACACCGTACACGCTTCGTCACCGCATTTCAATTTAGCGTGTAGGGTCTAGGGTTTAGGGTTTAGGGTTTACTTGTAGAAGGCAAGGAGCACCATAGGGTTTAGCAGGCCGTAGAGGAGGGAGCGCTCGCTGGTGGTCTCCAACAGGTAAGAGGCCCGGCCTGCAATACAAAAACCCTAAACCCTAAACCCTAAACCCTAAACCCTAAACCCTCAAACGGCATCCTCTGGCTACTCGTTTTTCTGCTGTTTCTCCCACCTTGCCTACTAAACCCTACCTCTAAAACCCCTCCTCCAGACCCTCCCCACCCAAACCCTAAAACCGCTAAACCCTAAAACCCCTAAACTCTGAAACCCCTAAACCCTAAACCCTAAACCCTAAACCCTCACCTGCCTCTCCCTGGAGTTCCTTCAGCAACGCTGCCACATCTTTGCGGCCTACAAGACTAGTAAATGAATTCTTTTTTGATGTTCTTCTAAAGGGGGCCCCCCAGGGGCCCCCCCGTGAACAACAATTACCTCTATCCTCCCCCTTTACCCTCGGGGGGCCCCTAAGGGCCCCTCGGTGGGGCCCCCAATGGGGGGCCCCCCAATTAGGGGCCCCCCAATGGGGGGCCCCCATCTGGGGGGCCCCCATACGGGAAGCCTCAATATGGGGGGCCCCCATATGGGGGGCCCCAAACGATGCCTCTTCTGCTGGAGGGGAAGCTAATAGCATCTGATCGTCTTGCTGCTGCTGCTGATGTTGCTGCTGCTGCTGCTGCTGATGCTGTTGAGTCTGCTCCTCTTGCTCCTCCTGCTCCTGGTGCTGCTGCTGCTGCTCCTCCTCCTCCTGCTGCTGCTGCTGCTGATGGCGCAGCCGGTGCTGCAGGAGCTCTTCGGTGTACTGCCATTGTGGCTGTTGCTGCTGATCTTGCGTTTGCTGCAGTTGCTCTTGCTGCTGCTGTAGCTGCTGCAGCAGCAGCTGCTGCTGAGTTGTTTTTTCTTCGTAGGTGAAGGAAGCGTCAACAGCAGCAACAACAGCAGCAGCAGCTGCTGCTGCTGCTGCATCAAGAACGGGAGCAGCAGCAGCACTGCTCACCTCGGAGGGGGGCCCCATAGCTTAATAGCTGGGAGGGCCTCGACTGTATGTAGGGGCCAGGTGGCGGTAGAAAACCATCTGGGAGCGATAAACCCTAAACCCTAAACCCTAAACCCTAAACCCTCGAACCTGAACCCCGAAGGGCAGGTTGAGGCGAAGCTGCGCAGTTGCAGCTCCAATAATCCCCCCGAAAACGCTTTAGATGCAACTGAAAGCTAGGGTTTAGGGTTTAGGGTTTAGGGTTTATGTGTGGACGCTAGAGGCAGCAAGCCAGCCCGGCAAGGCCTGGGTATTTGCGGGCCGTAGGGTTTAGGGTTTAGGGTTTAGGGTTTATGGTTTAGCTATTATTGAGCCCCTATGTTAATTGTCTTGGCGTTGGGAGGGATGGATGCTGCGGAGACCGAAGGTTTGGGGTTTAGGGTTTAGCGTTTAGGGTTTAGGGTTTAGGGTTTGCTCCTGGGGCGCCAGGGCCTCGCGTGCCTGGCTCTGAGCAAGACCGCTGCTGAGTCTGTTGATAATAGGAAGATAAAGATAAAATAAATTAAGAAAAGAGAAAAAGAAGCAGCAGCAGCTAAGCGGATATGCTGCAGCAAGTGCTGCAGCAGCAGCAGCAGCAGCAACAGCAGCAGCAGCAACAGCAGCAGCAGCAGAACACAAGAGAAAGCAACGGCAAACAGAAATGCAGCGGGGGATGAAACGCGCGCTAATGAGACAAGAAGAAATATCAATATACTTCAAGATTTAGCAATTAGGGTTTAGGGTTTAGGGTTTAGGGTTTAGGGCTTCTGCCCCGCCCGCACCGCCGCCACTGTCGATACCGCTGGTCAGCCCCCAGCTCATAGACTGCCCTAAACCCTAAACCCTAAACCCTAAACCCTAAACCATAAACCCTAAAGCATAAACCCTACACCCGAATTTTCCACAGCTTCCTTTCGATGAAGGAGCTGTCGATTCAAGACCCTAAACCCTAAATCCTAAACCCTAAACCCTAAACCATAAACCCTAAACCACCACAACACGAGTTGTCCCTTGCCTAGCAAAACCTGAAACCTGAAGCTGAAGCATCTACGGTGTATAGGAAGAATAGATAAGCAGAAGTGAGGGTTTAGGGTTTATACAGCCCAGTCAGGTATGATATCTAAAGCCACAAGGTGCTCAGTGCACAAGGGTTTAGGGTTTAGGGTTTATGCATTCCAGGGTAAAGCACTTGAAGCAGAGAGAGAGAGAGAGAGAGAGAGAGAGAGAAAGAGAAGCAGCGCCTATCAATTAGGGCATG